AGCTTTACGCAGGTCCACAAATAACCCAACAGGGAACTCATTTTTATCAAGAGCTGTATGAATCGAGTTAAGCATACTAATAAGTGCATCGTTAGTGCTTTTTTTGGGCCTGAAGCCATATTGGCAAGGGCTAAGTATATTGAGTTTGGCTAGATATGAGTAAAGCTGCTTGTAGATTAGTTTTTCAAAAATTTTTGACAAGTTTGGCAGGATTGATATAGGTCTGTAGTTAACATCTGTGAGATCACCACATTTGTGGACAGGCGTTACCCTCGCTTTTTTTAGAATATCTGGAAAGGTTTGGAGTTCAAGTGACTTGTTGAAGAGCAAAGCAATAGCAGGGGCTATAGATCTGGAGGCTTTTTTGTAGATTAAAGTTGGAATCTCCTCAAGGGCACCAGACTTGGTTTTAAGGGAAAGGATTATCTCATTGACGTCAATGGAATTAATAGGCTTTAGGTACAGAGACTGGGGATAGTTCCCTGTAAGATAGTCCTTAATGTCAGTACTGGAAGATGGAATATCATTAGCAAGGGATGAACCAATGGAAGAGAAGAACCTATTGAACTCAATAGCAGAATCAGAGGCTGAAAGCTGACCATCGTTATTAGACAGGAGAGTCGGTTTGTTATTTAAAGACTTTTTTGATCCCAATATTTGTGAAATTGTTCTCCATGTTTGTTTAATGTTGCTCTTTATTTGGGTAAATTTATCTTCGTAGTATTTAGTTTTGGCTCGTCTAATTATCTTAGATAGCAATAATGAGTAATTCTTTGAGAATTCTTTGGAGACAATCCCTAACCTATACTTTTTCTCAAGGTCATGTTTTTTATTAATAGATTTAAGTATTCCCTTTGTAAGCCAGGGATTGTTAAGCCTTTTGGTTGTGACTTGTTTTGTAAGCATAGGACAGTGGGTATTATAAAGGCTAAGAGTTATTTGAAGAAAAGATTGAACTGCTAGGTTGATGTCCTCTATGTTACCTAACTCGGACTCCCAGTTGACATTATCAGTAGCAGTTATAAAATTGTCTATAGCAGTTTCATTGTGTAGTCTAAAACGTATCTCTCTTGACTCAAGAGGTGGTTTGCTAATGTTAGTTAAGAGAAATGTGGGGTAATGGTCTGTAGTGCTATCGGTGATTATACCTGAAGTAAGCGGAGAGGTTATATTTGTCCAGATGTGATCAAGAGTCGTGGCAGTGCTATCAGTGATTCTAGTAGGTCTAGTGATTAAGGGTATGAGGAAGCAGGAATTCATACAGTTGAGGAAGCTAACATCAGTAGGGTGTTCTGGCTCGCAGAGGTCAATATTAAAGTCCCCTGCGATAATTAGGTGGTTTTTGTTCAGTCTGTTATCAAGTATTAGATTTCTAAGGTTTGAGTTGAATTCGGACACATCAGTGTTAGGAATTCTATAAACTGCACCCAGACAGGATAGACTCGGCACCCTTGACTCTGAAGCTGGCGAAGATATACTCCCCATAGCAGTCTCTAGTTCTAATTTCTTTTAAGCATGTTAGTTCTTGGTGGTAGTAGAGAGCAGTGCCACCACCTCTCTGAAGTTGACGACAGTTGTGGATTGCTGAGTAGTTAGGCATGTTAAAGAGTTGAGTAGTATCATCTTTCAACCATGTTTCAGTAAGTATAATAAAAGAGAAATTGTTGTCAATAGCTTCAATCAAGGCACTAACATCATCGAAGTGTTTGCCTAGGGATCTAACGTTCAAATTGATTACAGAGATATTGTGACTATGAGTTAATACATTGTTTACATCATGTGCTGCAAAATATCTGCAATTTAGATCATTAAAGTGATTATTGTCATAGATAGTGGATAAGAGGTTAAGTTCTGGGTCTATACTTGACTGCATAAAAAAAAGCCGATTGCCGGAAAAACAAGAAAAACAAAAAGAAATAAATGTACACAATACTGTACCAAACAAACACAAAAGGGGCTTACAGGGGTACAGTGGAGTATGGCTAGGCTAGGCAATCTAGGTAATGAATGAGATTAAAGAAAAAAACATATAAACATGGACTATACAAAACACAAGATATAGATATACAAAACAAAAATATAAACAAGACTAAGCAATACCAAAAAAATTGAGCAAAAATGAAAAATGAGGTAGATTGCTTACAGGTACTCTCAGGTACACTGTAAGTAACAATAGACAGAAAATATATATCAATATAGAAAAGAATGTCACAATACAATAAGATAAGCAATTACATGAACAGATGAAAAACAAATCTGCTGTAAAATAGGAAGTAATTATAGCAAAACACAATATAATAATATAACAATACAATAAGAGCTTACAAAGTATTGAGTCTGCTAAATTAGAGAATAATTATGGCAAGACACAACAATAAATGCAAGCAAACAAGGAATTGAAACAATTAGAGGTAGAATTAAGGTCACTAGATAGCCATGGAGGATACACAAGTTTGGCGGAGAGAACAAAAAATCAGTAGAGACTGTCAAGATGAATATATAAAAAAATTTGACAAATGATAATTGTAAAGTAAAATAATCTTAAAGATAATAAATTTTATTAAGCTTAGTTTTAACTTATAATTAGTATGAACTTAATTAAAAGAACAAAAATGAGATCAATAATTGATTTCAATAAATGACATAGATCAATACAAATAAATTTAAAATATAAATGGAATAGGGTAAGATTAGATTTAAGAGTAAAATTTTACAATGAAACTGAGGTAGATGCTTGCATAAGTGCATGGAGACTTGATGGATTATTTAGGAAATTATAGGAATAGGAGAACATCAGGTAAATGGTAAGGCAGAGACAGCACCTTAGACAAAGTTAGGTTAGGCTCAGGCACTGAAAGAGTTAATTTAAGTACTGGCATTGGTCGGGTTCAGGTTTTCAGATATACCACAATCACTTAAGAAGGCCAGGAGTTGTTGGTCACATTTTATTTCATATCTTTTTCCTGTAGCTTCTTTCTTCGCAAAAATCGTACCATTCCTTGTGTAGCACTGCTTGATAAGACCAAGGTTTTGTTTGCGAACTTGGCGCAGCCTGTAGAGGAGGGATCCACGCTGCTTAGTAAGTCACTCATTTATATAGAGGTTGGTTTTTTGCTTAGCAGCTGTTTGCATGAGGTCAAACTTCGCAGAGGGATTTGCAAGTTTGATGAGCATTCTCCTACAGTTACGGGGGTTGTTTTTATCTATCCTAATAGCCGATTTGATTTGAACATTGACACTGATCTTTGAATTAATTAAGGTGTTGGCTATGTTACAGCAATCCTCACCTTGTTGTTCAACAGGTAGATCAGTAGAGCTAATTGTCCCCACGACACAATGAATTTCCTAAAAATTCTAATGCTTGTAAGAAGTAATAATCTAGAGAACTCATGTAAATTATGTATAAGTCACAATGACATTATCAACAAGCTTCTCCGAAGAACAAACTGCGGTATCTTCGTGAGGGCAAGTAGCACTCTAGGTTGCAATTATTTTACCAGTCGAGTAAGGCGCGTCTGGGATCTTTCCGGACGTAGGTTTTTCCCTCATCACGGCCCTTGTGGATTTGATAACTGTATATAGTTTAAACTGATGTCACGATATTGTGATTTCTTTGTGTATTGTTATAATACGTTTTGCCCATGGTATTTGTGCTCTATATTAAACTTCGTCTTGAGGCAAAGGCCACTGCCTCAGAATATATTGATACTATATCCTTAGATCATTATCCATATCGTTCAAATCTAGTGGATATCTTGATCGTCCCCTTAAACCGTCCCCACAGGTGCTGTTGACAATGGGTGATGGCTTACATTTTAAGTGGAGAGTTTGTATAAATAAGTGGGTCTTCAGACCGTCTTATTTGCCTTACTTCTTGCGTTGAAATGTCTATAAGAATCCAAACTTAATGTATTAATTGTAGGTGATTCTCCGACAGCTCTAATTGTGCTCTTTTAATGAAGCTAAACAAAAATACCAAAAAATTATTAATGGTGGTAACAGATTCTATTTCATGTGGATTCCATTTCATGTCGTTCTCAGAATGCAAGAATGGAGACCATTCTTAGAAAGAGACTACAAGACGACTTGGACAAACTTGAGGAATGTTCCAGAAAATGGCTCATAAAGTTTAACTCATGTGTTAAGATATTGACTTAAGTTGATATATAAAGTTACTTGAGCATACTATTTTCATCTATTCAGAACAGACAAAAGGACACTAAATAATATTAATTTAGTATTAGTAATGGATGTAAGTTTATGGCATAGTAATGGATGTAAGCCATAAACTCACAGGAAAGTTAAAACCTACAACATTATAAGTAAATCCTCCAAAGAGAGAAAGAGAGCGAGAGATATAAACAGAGCCCCCCCCCCCGTCCCCTGGGCATTTTGTAACTGTTTTGTATCTCATTATATCATTATATACTGGATGATTGAGTGTGGTGAGGTTGAGTGTATGTTGGGGTTATGAGAGCGTGTTGAGGTTGAGAATGTGTTCTGGCTGAATGTTGACATTGTGTCAACACAATGTATTTATTATTAATATATTTCATGTATATTCCACATGTATTTATTTATACATAACTTTAATAACTGTTAGGCTGCAGGACAAAATCGAAATTCAAGTAAGACTGGGCTCAAGACTATTTGCTTCCTGAGAAATAATGAACGTAAGTTGTAGCTGTAAGTTTGATATTGTTATAATTGGGTGGGAAGAGAAACAAACTGGTGATCCACATGGCTTTTATTTACCGAATTATACCACACCGGGTTATCGGTGACATTTACACTGTATTCACCTAATCTAAGTAGTAATTTACAATGCACCATTTACTATGTACCATTTACAAAAGAGCATCTGCTCGAAATATTATTCACCTAAGTAATAATTAATCCAACTAAATAACTTAATCCTAACAGATATTAAAGTCATCAGCTGGAGAATTAAAATCAAACTGTCATACATGAGGCCATCAGGTAATTAATAGGCTTCTAGTTAACCGGCAGATGACCATTCAAACTTAGGGTGTTTATGAAATTTCCTAGACAATTAAGTACTAATTCAGACAGTAAATGCATTATATAATTTGAATTCGCAATTACAACTTCTGTTCTGAATTATTACTATCGAATGTGGAATTGTGTGAAAGAATTAAATTGCCTGTATTCCATTCAGGTACAAAACTACTGTTATCAGCAAATGTGAGATAATGAAGGCAAAATTTGAATGGTACCAGTTTGATATTGTAGATTCATTAAAGAGAATACAAGAACAATTTAGCATTTCGATTTGTATGGAAATCATTTCGATCTGCATGGAAAGGCTCCTAATTCGAGATTTTATAATTTCGGTATGTTCTGCATGGTCTTATTGGTTAGGTTAGTGCCTAGGACTATGGTTAGTGCTTTTGAGATCCAGAGGGTAAAGGAAGCAGTAAAGTAGAGCAAGAGGGCAGTGTCCACATCTGGGATGGCAGTAATGGATGTGGTGGAGGAGTAGGCTATCACAGCAGCACAGCGCACAGCCTCTACCACTGGCGCCCACAACCACCCATCATACATGGCTGACATCACACCCACTGTCACGAATATGAAGATCTGGCACGTCACAACCGCCTCCAAGGATAATATCTGAGGGACACAAATAATATATATTACTACATTACCCGACACTAATTACATAAATAACTTTGATTTACGATAAATCTAAACTAATTCTGCTCTATTAAATCTAATATTAATTCTAAATATTCTTGTAGGGCCTCATAATGTACTTACATTATGCATCCAGCATTTCTTCGACCCATAATTTCGTTGATTATTTAAAATTATCAAAAAGCTAAAAATGGGTTGAACTTGTGGGATTAATATAATTTGCTGTAAATTCTGAATTAATTTGCTCGCCTTCCTAAGTGAAGATAGGACGGTAGTCGTATCAGACTTAGGTGCTAGGCGGATGTGTCGTGGAGTGCTCTTGAGAATGTGTGACCACATGCTAAGCAAATTGAGTAAGATCAAATAATATCACATTGTCTGTCAGAATATGGAGAAGGCGGTTTGCCTCAGCAACAGGAGAACCTCTGGGATGAACTCTTCTCTTACAAAGAACATCGTATGCATTATAAAAGCCAAGAAAATGGAAGAAAGCTCGTGGGGAAGCACTGTCCCGTTTTCTGATTTGGTTCCTTTGGTTAGGAGAGGACACGTTAAATTAATTCTTGACTTTGGGAAACCTTAGGAGAGGCTGCTGGGAGAACCAATGGGAGACTGCTATGCGTGCAGGCCTTTTCAGGTGAGCGAGGACCAATAAAAAGAATTATCATACAGGTAAAAAGTGAAACCGAGAGTGGGATGAGAAACGAATTGTAATGATCAATGCCAGACGGGACCGGGTCATTTGAGGTCTCAAAAGGAAAACGTCACCAGACAGATGCAGGGTGTTCCTCATACATACATAACAGATGGAACCGACGTGGCAGTGGGAAGTATTAAATTATCTCAATAAATTTACTTGAACTTTATGAGCATAGTGGAAGCATAGTTGAAGTAAATGTGAATACACACAGAAATCACAATAACGTAATACATCAAATCTACAAGGGACGTGATGAGGATTCGACCTCATTCCCAAATTTGGGAACAAGGGATGTTCCCAAATTCGCCTTAGTCAACTGAACATGGTCAAAAGAATTGCAACCGGGAGTGCTACTGCCCTCACTAGGATCCCAAATTGGGGTTTCACACAATTCCTCATGCCTCCATCACGGACTTTGTTCGTTTAAATGTCAATAATTAGCAAACAAGGTGCGTAATGAAGACAAAAACTCTGAATTAAGAGCAAATGGAGACAAGAAACTGTAAAGGCCTTACCTGGAAGTTGAAGCACATCAGCTGTTGAGCGATGAACGACAGCGCCATGTGAGTGGAGACATACATAAATTGCCACAGTGGCAGTTGGGGGTCGTACTTGGGCCTGGGAGCCTGGACGTCGGTGAAGGTGAGAGGGTCCCCTAGACGAGGCGTCCCCGGGGCCCAGCCGGGGCCGTAGAACACAGACCTCAGTGAGTCTCCCCAACTGCTCATGCTTCTTGCCTTCCGGTAAACTTCAGCGAAGTAGAAGAACTGTGCAGATAAATTTCTAATATGTAAAACAGATTTACAAAGGCCGCTTACCACAAAATGATGGCGAGTTCAAGAAAATATTGGGGAAACTCCAAGCACGGTATACATAAGAGCTATATTTATATCAGATGGATAAATGTTATGAATGAATTTATGAATTACTGTATACCTAAAACAAAAGTGTACAGAAAAAATATTTAATATATTAAATATTTAGAGTATAGTAAAAATATTTAGAGTACTTATTTAAATGTTTTTAAGTCCACTAGTTAAAAGATATTCCTCTATCGTACATGCTTATGCATGTGTTCGGCAAAATGAGTAAAATAGTTGATAACATACCTGATGCCAGAGAACGTTATGGGTCTGGGGCTGCTGTGTCAAGCCGTAGACTATCTCCTCCTGGTCTCTCTCTCCCTCAAAGGTGCCAAAGATGCGATCCCAGATGATCAACACACTGGCGTAGTTTTTATCCAGGCACCACTTGTTAGCTCCTGGATATAAACAATTAGTCTGTTGAAGTATTATGCTAAACATAAATCTTTCAGATAAAATGATTCTACTAATATCTCATTAGTTACAAACGAACATAGGCATAAAAACGAACGAACGGAGGCATTATGCGGGTTTGGAGGCATAAAAAAGTAGACGCATTGCACCAGACCTACCATGATGGACGCGGTGATGGGAAGGTGTCATGAAAATCCAGCCTATTGGTCCGAGGCTGCCAATGTACTCTGTATGCACCCAGATCTGGAACACATAATTTAAAGCAATGTGGACAACAACCGAGGGTAGCGGAAATCCTAGTAGAGCCAGAGGTTGGTAGCAACACATATTGGCGGGTCGCTGGAACATTGATATGCGTGTCGCCGTGGCAAAGTCGAAGTCTTCAGAAGAGTGGTGGACCTGATGTATTGCCCAAAGGACATTCAGTTCTGAAGGTGGAGAAACAAATAATGAGTTTAATGATGGTATGTGTTGTCAGCCGGACAGCTTAATATCGCACACTATGCCTTTACATAGATAATTGACCAAGATAACAGTTAACGTTTTACATACCATGGTTAGCTCTGTGGATCCAATAGTAGCAGAAGTCAACGAATATGAAGGCGCCAAACCAGGTATAAGGCGAGTCCCAGGGTAGTTCCCACAGGCGGTACTGGTAGAGCATCTGGTAGCTTGCCATACCAAACGATGCAGTCACTAATCTGAAAGCACAGACGTTCATGAAATTAATTTTCTTCGAAGTTAAGTACTCATGTACTTAACAGTACATGTTAAACATACATATTATTATTACTATTTAGAACGTTTAAGCCTCCCTCCGAACGCAACACAGTGCGTTCCCTCCCTTACCCTGCAGACTCGTGAAGGATGCCAATTCCAAACGACGAGAAAACTTGGTTGACTCTGGCAGGGCGGCCCATCAGGTAGCGCGCTATCACCTCCGCAAAGACAATCGTTACGACCAGTGGAACGGCCTGAAATACACAGATTTATTATAGCTGTCTTATGTTAATATACTAAACTCACATCTTAGCTGACATTTAGATTAAACTCACATCTTAGCTGACAACTTACATGCAGAAATATTTCGATTATGTAGTTGATTTAGTCAATATGATGCAAATGTTAACAATAAAGGTACCTCTTGAACGTATTCGGGGACTTCTTCAATATGCCTGAAGGTTGACCTGCTCGGGTGGACCAAGTACAGCATCCTAGCCATTCGCTCAATCAGGAACCACCCCATCGCTGTTGCACACAAAAGCGAAACGTTAACTCGGAAATTGTGAAACGTTATTAAATATATAATATATACGTAAATAATACTAATTCTGTTAATACACATTTTTTTATAAATATATTTTTCAAAAGATAAAATGTGTTAAGCCTATACAAAGGAAAAAGTTGGATATGTTCAAGATGAAAATTGAGATAATATTAACATATAACAGTGTGTAAAAAGGCCTTCATTTAAAATAAACAAATAAAAGGTCGAATAATTAATTGTGGTGCTTACTGGTGAAGTTGTGTGCCGCCATGGGCCACTGTGGAGGACACTGGTGACACTGACACTGGACACTGCTACACTCACCAGTTGGTCATCAACTGAGACAACGACGTTGTTTGCTGCTTTAGATTTAGCTACTCAGAAGGAAGTGTCCATGTAGCACGGGCTATGGTGAGCCTTTGTGAGAGAGACGCCAGTTTCTCCTTACTTTAAACACACTAGGTCAGGTGGGTGGTGGTTTGACACCGATTTCATTCTCTGGACTAGGAAGCCTATTAAGCTTAACACAAGAATCAAGGAAAGTGCAGAGGGCCTATTAGCCCATACGTGGCAGCTCCTATATATATATCTACACAAACTCATTAGAGTACTAATTTAACAATGTAAGAAAGATTGGAATTTTAGGCCTATTGGTTCATTCGATGAATTGAAAGAATTTCATCAGGCAATGGGATGTAGTCATTGCGCAAATTCGCCTTGGCTATAGACACATCTGGCAAGTTAGTGAGGCTTAACCACTACCAACAATACTTAGATTGTAAACTCTGTGATAAACCTTTAATGCATTCACTAGAACACTATGTTGCTGAAAGCGAAACCGTAAAAGACTTATGTGGTACAAAAGACCTCATGGTCTATTGTACCACAAACTGTGTAAATGTTTCATTGACTCAGGTGTTTTGGACGACATGCTAACATTTTATACAAAACTTGCTTATCCATTTTATAGAATGAAGAACAATTTTATACATATTACTTCTAAGCTGCATCACGTATGAACCCATCCCTGTCCTTGTGTGGCAGTGCATAATAGAAAGCTGTTTTCACATATTCAAACATTAATTAAAACATTGATTATAACCATGATATGTGCTTCAGAATACAGTTTAGACTTATTGTCTTGCGTATGACCTGTCCTGCGTGACAGTAAATACCAGCATTATCCTCACTTTAATAAGAATTAATTGAAGTCCTCAGTTTAGGCAAAATTGTAATTCATTTTGTAAAAAAAAAATGTTAATAATAATCAATCCAAAATGTATGTATGTATGTATAAGAACATAAGAACAAAGGTAACTGCAGAAGGCCTATTGGCCCATATGAGGCAGTTCCTATTTATAACCACCCAATCCCACTGACATACAAGTCCAACTCACGTTTTAAACAACCGAGAGACCCCACCTCCTCCATGTTACGCGATAATTGATTCCACAAATCAACAACCCTGTTACTAAATCAGTATTTACCCAAGTCTTTCCTAAATCTAAACTTATCCAATTTATTCCCATTGTTTCGTGTTCTGTCTTGTGTTGATACTTTTAATACCATAAGAACAAGGTAACTGCAGTAGGCCTTTTGGCCCTTACGAGGCAGGTACTATTTATAACCACCCAATCCCACTCACATACATGTCCTACCCAAGTTTGACACAATCGAGGGACCAAAACTCCACCACGTTACGTGGTAATTGGTTGAACAAATAAACAACCCTGTTACAGAACCAGTATTTACTCAAGTCTTTCCTAAATCTAAACTTATCCAATTTATACCCATTGTTTTGTGTTCTGTCTTGTGTTGATACTTTTAATACCCTATTAATATTCCCTTTGTTATGTCCATCCACTGGTAAATCTCTATAATGTCACCCCTAACTCTTCGCCTTCCAAGCTAATACAATTTAAGCTTTGTTAATTTTTCTTCATATAAAAGATTTCTAAAATGGAGAATTAACTTTGTCATCGTATGCTGGACACTTTCATAAAAGCATAAGAACATAAGAACAAAGGTAACTGCAGTAGGCCTATTGACCCATACGAGGCAGCTCCTATTTATAACCACCCAATCCCAAACCCACTCATATACATGTCCAACCCACGCTTGAAACAATCGAGGGACCCCACCTCCACCACGTTACGTGGTAATTGGTTCCACGAATCAGCAACCCTCTTACCGAACCAGTATTTACCCAAGTCTTTCTTGGGTAAATGTAGTTAGGCCCCATTTAGATTATGCAGTTCAGTTTTGGTCGCCATATTATAGAATGGATATAAATTCACTTGAACGTGTCCAGCGTAGGATGACTAAGTTAATTCCCCAAATTAGAAATCTTTCATATGAAGAAAGATTAACAAAGCTTAAGTTGCATTCACTGGAAAGGCGAAGAGTTAGGGGTGACATGATAGAGGTTTACAAGTGGATGAATGGACATAACCGGGGGGATATTAATAGGGTATTAAAAGTATCAACACAGGACAGAACACGAAACAATGGATATAAATTGGATAAGTTTAGATTTAGGAAAGACTTGGGTAAATACTGGTTCAGTAACAGGGTTGTTGATTTGTGGAACCAATTGCCGCGTAACATTGTGGAGGTGGGGTCCCTCGATTGTTTCAAGCACGGGTTGGACAAGTATATGAGTGGGATTGGGTGGTTATAGAATAGGAGCTGCCTCGTATGGGCCAATAGGCCTTCTGCAGTTACCTTTGTTCTTATGTTCTTATGTTATGTTCTTATGTTCTCAGAACTTTACATTTATCAGCATTAAACTGCATTTGCCAATCATTTGACCATTTCAAAACCCTATCTAGATCAACTTGAAGTGATAGTGAGTCCCCCTCCGAATTATTCAAATTATTCAAATTTGCAAATGTTGCTACTCAAACCTGAATCTAAATCATTTATATATATTATAAACAACAGAGGTCCCAGGACAGAGCCTTGAGGCACTCCACTTACAACATTTTCCCACTCTGACTTGATTCCATTTATACTAACTCTCTGTTTCCTTTGGTATAGCCATGCCCTAATCCAGCTTAATATAGCACCCCCAATACCATGAGACTATTTTTTTAATCAGTCTTTCATGTGGCACTGTATCAAAAGCTTTGCTAAAGTCAAGGTATACAACATCGCAATCCTTACCACTATCAACTGCCTCAACAATGCTAGAATAAAAAGATAACAAATTTGTTAAACATGAACGGCCATTTATAAAACCATGTTGCGACTCAATTATTAATTTATGTTTTTCAAGATGAAGACGAATTTTATTTGCTATTATAGATTCGAGTAACTTTCCCACAATAGACGTTAGGCTAATTGGTCGATAGTTAGACGCAAGTGATCTATCTCCTTTCTTAAAAACTGGTATCACATTAGCAACTTTCCAAAACTCTGGCACTCTGCCTGACTCTATTGATTTATTAAATATGGTTGACAGTGGGTCACAAAGCTCCTCTTTGCATTCTTTAAGCACCCTAGCAAACACTTCATCCGGCCCTGGGGATTTGTTTGGTTTGAGTTTTACTATTTGTTTAAGAACATCCTCCCTGGTAACTGCTAAACTCGTCAACCTGTCCTCGTCCCCACCCACATAGACTTGTTCGGCTGAAGGCATATTGTTAAGTTCCTCTTTAGTAAATACAGATACAAAATATTTATTAAAAATACTACTCATCTCTTCATCACTATCTGTTATTTGACCTGTCTCAGTTTTTAATGGACCTATCCTTTCCCTAGTCTTAGTACGATATAACTGAAAAAACCCTTTAGGATTTGTCTTTGCTTGCCCTGCTATGCGAACTTCATAGTTTCTTTTTGCTTTCCTTATCTCTTTTTTAAAATTTCTAACCAGTTGTACGAATTCCTGTTCTAAAGTGACCTCCCCATTTTTAATCCTTTTGTACCAAGCTCTCTTTTTACCTATAAGGTTCTTCAAATTCTTTGTTATCCACTTTGGATAAGGCTAGGTAATGATGATAGAGTTACAAGATACGAGCTAGATGGTGTTGAGATTGCGAAGTCGGATTGCGAAAGGGATCTGGGAGTTATGATTAGTAAGAATTTAAAACAAAAGGATCAATGCATGAATGTTCGTAATAAGGCGAATAGGACACTGGGATTTATTAATCGAAGCGTTAGTAACAAGACACCTGGTGTGGTTCTCAAGCTATATCTTGTTCTAGTTAGGCCCCATTTACATTATGCCGTTCAGTTTTGGTTGCCATATTATAGAATGGATATAAATTCACTTGAACGTGTCCAGCGTAGGATGGACACGTTCCCCAAATTAGAAATCTTTCATATGAAGAAAGATTAACAAAGCTTAAGTTGCATTCACTGGAAAGGCAAAGAGTTAGGGGTGACATGATAGAGGTTTACAAGTGAATGAATGGACATAACAAAGGGGACATTAATAGGGTATTAAAAATATCAACACAAGACAGAACACGAAACAATGGGTATAAATTGGATAAGTTTAGATTTAGGAAAGACTTGGGTAAATACTGGTTCAGTAACAGGGTTGTTAATTTGTGGAACCAATTACCGCTTAACGTGCTGGAGGTGGGATCCCTCGATTGTTTCAAGCGCGGGTTGGACAAATATATGAGTGGGATTGGGTGGTTATAGAACAGGAGCTGCCTCGTATGGGCCAATAGGCCTTCTGCAGTTGCCTTTGTTCTTATGTTCTAATTTCCTTTCTCTTCTCCGCACACTTTTCTCGGGGGATGTTTTTCTATACCAGATGTTTTCCGGTTCAATGTTGCATTAAATACATCTACCTCCTTAATTAAATCTTCATAAAATGCTTCTGCCTAAACTGGCTTATAAGTATCATACCAAGACTTAATATGACCAACAAGACCCCTTAATTCTCCCGCATTAAACTCTAAGCTTTTCCTCTGAAGGCAGGCATGCTTTTTATCTAGTTTAAGCTGTATTTGTAATGCAAAATT